TGCGCAGCACTTAGCGCTCATCTCCACACTTACCTTTCCTTCTATGCACCACCAACTTCACCGACGGATGACGAAGTCGCGGTGGGGGACATCCTCGCGTACGTTACCAAGGTGGTCCGCGAGTTTCGCATGCAGCGGTACGATAACAACAATGCACCGCTCATGTATGTCCACATCCAGGTTGGGCAAGCGTCCTGCAGCGCTTTGCTGGATAGCGGCGCGACTCGCAACTTCATGAGCTAGTCTTTTATGCAAAGAGCTGGCCTTGGCGCACAAGTTCGGAGGAAGGCAAGCCCGACGGCGATCAAGTTGGCGGATGGAAAGACGCAACAACTACTCGACCGTTACATCGAGGCCGTACCGGTCTACTTCGCACCTCATGCATGCGAACCGGTGACATTTGATATTCTCGACACGGACTTCGACATCATTCTGGGAATGCCTTGGCTTGCAAGTGCGGATCACACCGTCAACTTCCATCGGCGGACTCTTAGCGTTCGCGACGCCTTCGACGCGGAAGTGGCGTGTACGATTCCTCGACCACACTCTTCGATCCGGTGCCAAGTGGTAACAGCCAAATCATTCCGGGCAACTTGTGCTTACGAGCAGCCCGAGGAGATCGGCATATGTTTCCTACGGACCGTCGCGGCAGCCGACTCTTCACCCACGGACTTGTCTTCGGACCCCCGATCTCGATTCAGCCGAACGACCGCTACAAAACCGCATTCAAGACGCGGTACGGGCATTTTGAGTGGGTGGTCATGCCTTTTGGCCTCACCAATGCCCCGGCGACGTTCCAGGCGGCGATGACCAATGAGTTATGTGCAATGTTGGACCGGTTAGACGATATTCTCGTCTACAGCCGGACATTGGAGGCTTATCTTGGACATCTTCGACGAGTGTTGGAGACGCTCCGCCGTGCCAAGTACAAGGCCAACCGCGACAAGTGCGAATTTGTCCGGCAAGAGCTGGAATACTTGGGCCATTTTGTCACACYGGAGGGCATYAGTCCGCTATCGGACAAGATTCAGGCCATCCAAGAGTGGCCGGAGCCTCGGAACGTCACGGATGTCCGCTCGTTCCTCGATCTGACCGGCTACTATCAGCGCTTCATCAAAGGCTACTCCAAGATCGTGGCCCACTTGAACAAACTTCAGTGCGAGGATCGGCCGTTTGACTTCGGAGAAGAGGCGCGAGGATCATTCTTCGCTCTCAAAGCCGCGCTATTGTCTGCGGAGGTCTTGCGAATCTACGACCCGCTCGCGCCTACACGTGTCACTACGGATGCGTCAGGGTATGGCATTGGTGCAGTCCTCGAGCAACATGATGGTGT